CGCTTGTTGTATTTGCTCATGATGTGGCCAGCAACTCCTATCTGGGTCTTGTTGTTGAATGACAACTCCCTGCTCTTCGCTGCCAACGCGTCGCAAATGCTCTTAAAGAGAGTAGCGAGGGCGACATGTTCAACTGAAGACAATGTGGCGATTGAGACAAGTGCCGACATCAGAACCTGCACTTTGACCTCATGAAGTCGACCCTGAAAATAGACCTCGACCGCGTAAATGAGTGCGCGAAGCGTCTGTATAAATTGCACTGGGCATCGTCGAGAAGGACAGTGCTGATTTGCGGTCGAGTCAAGGCCGTCAAGGCTGGCCCGGTCGGTGGAAGTGGAAGGAAGGTGCTGAAGGTGCTTGACACACTGGGCACATGCCCACAAGGCATTGGTGACTTCAAAGTCATTGCAAGTCTTCAGTCCCCGTGCCACCACTTGAATGAGCGCTGCCAACAAGTCCTGTGGGAACACCTGCAAAGGCAAATAAAGGCAAGGTGCCAAACCAAGTCACAAATTAGCCGGCATTTTTATGCATGTTTATGTCTTGTAGGGCTGTAGGGCTGGTCCTTCTGATGTTTCCCAAATGATTTGGGATTATTATTCATGAGTTAAGGATGGGGGACCGAGGAAAAAAGACACTTAGCACCTGCAAAGATGCACTGGACCACGCAATGATCGTGGCGCACTTGGCTGGCATTGAACCATCGTTTGCTGCGATCTCACGCCAAGTTTGCTTCCGAATCGCATCCAGCAAGGCGTTCAGGACCAGCGTGTCATCTTCATCACGAGGCCCACCAAGTCGAGCAATGCGATGCATTGCTGTTGATAAGTTGATAGCATTCATTCCAGGAAGCTGTTTGGCAACCAACTTGAAAATGTCAGGTTTGGTGCACAGATTCGCCGTCACCAACTCATTGTTGAGCCTCATCTGCCTCGTAAGAGTAGCTTTGGAGCTACTGTTCTTGCTGGCACGCGAGCGCCCGTAGTCTCCAGGTGCCTCACTGTTCTTTTCTTTCTCAAAAGCTGCCTCAAGCTTGTTGAGCTTGCCTTCCACATGTTTCTCTGTCGGAACATCGCTGTCAGTTGACAAGGAGCTTGCAACATCTGGCAGATACTCGGAGCTGACTGTCTTTCCCTCAGTCTCACTCTTGGGAGCATCGTCGACGAATGACAAACAAGGGCAAGACGAGGTTTTGCGAAACTGTGGGTTGCACAGTTCCACTGGCATGAACTCCAGGAAGGTGTTCTTCACCGAGATGTTATAGAGCGGAAGCATGCATCTCAAATCTCACATGCACCCCACTCCCCGCTGAATTTTCGTTTGAACCACCGTGCTAGCCAGCACCAAAACCATCACACCCATCCTGCACCTGTTCTTGCACAGACTGGGTCCAAACGTATCTAAATCCCTGTTCAATGTGCATTCACATGTGCCAGCAGTGGTTTGCTCATGGAAAAGGCAACTGCAAATGCAAATCTGCTCAAATGAAAATAAAGCATGTTTGTTCAAGGAAACGGATCTTTACAATCGTGGACCTAGAATGTCTTGGTAGAGTTTGCTTTCTGGGAGGGTCTTTGCAGGAAGCTGGAAAGAAGGAACAGGGAAGGTTTCAGAGGCTGTTGGGATGCGGGACTTTTACGACATCGTCGACATCATTGCAACTTTGTCCAGCACAGCCACCAACCCACCCTCGCTAGAACCCTTGGAACTGGCCCAAAACCTTGCCGGAACCTGCACCGTGAGAGTCTACACTCTACAGATGCTGCCTTTGGGAAGCACACCAACTGACATTCTTCATGGGGATTCCAGGAAAAAAAACGACATTGTGCTGTTTGCCACAGTTGTGCTACTTGCCGTTGTGCATCGCCGACATAAGGATCATTAGAACAGCCACACGCCAACCATTCCTGGTGTTCCAAACGACGAAAGTGCTGTCGGAAGTTGCTGGCAAATTCTGACGCTTGCCCTACCGTGTAGCTCTCCTTGCAGAACATTTGACAAACTGCAAAGTCAAAGCAAAAAAACACGTTGCTCCACCTCTGAGTCTTAGCACCATCTGGAACGACAATACTGCCACCAGTCGCAGCCTCAGGGTTCAAAAAGCGAAAGTGCAGATGTGAGGCTGGTTGCAAATCGCTGCAAAGAAAGAGGATCAATGACTATCACTTGCATGGGAATTTAAGTCCTAAGTCCGGCGCAGTGCCAAACCTCAGTGAACCCGTAGCATTCTCAACTGAGTGAGCTTGAAATAGTAAAGTTGTAAGCGAGGCGCGTGTCCGCAGTGTTACTTTTGCCTAGCTGGTCAAACCATTGGAAAAGTCAAGTTTTGAGTAAAACCACACTGCTTCGAACGCAATCAAGGACGACGGAAGCAGCAGAAGTCATATGAGTTCTATATGTTTTCTATGTGTTCGATTGTTTTCTGATGTTTTCTTCTGAAAAGAAATGGAACTTGGTCGACAAGTCTTGGTGTACCGTCTGGCCTTTCACGGTGGGTCTCCATCCCGGAGGAGGGGCTCCAGCCCCACGCGCCATACGCAGTCTGAGAGAAGCCACGTATGCCACGTTGGATTGGATTTATTAATACTTCTTCCCCACATGTCACAACATCAACGTATCAATTGCGTTTTGAATTTGTATCGAACTGTACCGTTGCAAAACCTGCGCTCAGCCACTTCAAGTGTCCTTGGACAAACAGCGAGTCCTATGTGGATGTTGCATGATGCTGCATTTCCATGCATTTCCAAACTTTATGCTGCAGGTGGCGGAAAAGTGTCAAAGTACTGTCTTGTTGAGATATGTGGGTTGCTGCTTTCGCGCGCTCGCAGCAGCCACTAGTGCCACTAGAGCAATCCATCCACTGTATGCCTTGAAACGATTTTGGGTCAGCGGAATGGCACGACCATGCAGGCCCATCATTTAAGGCTCAGTTTGTATTGGCATCGATTTCATCTGATGCCGGCATGGCACTCTCCCAACATTAAACCTTCCTCAAAATTCACCCATTACCACGATTGAAGCATTGGTTTTGTCATGTTTTGTCTGGCAGCTCTGCTTCACGCGTTTTGCTTCACTCAGCCGCTTCCTGACAAATTTGAAAAACCACCCACGAAAAGCACTGGATTTCGCCAGAGTTCAGCAAGATCGTGTGCATGGGAAGTGTTTTGCTATGTTTTACTTGCAAGACATGATACGAAGTATAATGATGTATCTATGCATCGCTATGCATCGTTTTGCATCGTCATGCATCGCTATGCATCCCTATGCCTCTATAGGTTTTCTATATCAAATCTGCATCTCACAAAATGAGCAGCACCTCCTCGCCCTCAGCACCTTCCTCGTTTTCGTCATCTTGCACCTCGCGAGTCAACATGTAAGCTGTTGTCAGCTGCTGTCAGCTAAACCAGAAAAACCATTGGGGTTCAGAATGTATCAGAATGTTGTGTTCGCCGTTCGCCATAGCTTCCAGCTGACTGTGAAGTCCAATGTTAGATATTTCTAATCGAAGGAAGTTTAGAAGTCAAACTTCTGACAAGATGGAAAGCAGAGGTGGGAAGAGTCAGAGAAGAGAAGAGAAGAGAAGAAGATCAGAGAAGAGAAAGAGTCAAAAGAAAGAAGCTGCAGATGAGCGAAAAGGTATATAGAGAAGTCGCGAAACATTGTGTTATTCCAATGTTTTGTGGTTCCAGACGGTCGAAGAGTAGGCTCGCTAAAGCGACTCCTCCTACTCCTACTACCCCTCCTACTCCGACTCCTACTCCTACCTCTACTCCTACTCCTACTCTCACCCCTACTACTAGTGCTACTAGTGCTACTAGTGCTACTAGTGCTAATAGTGCTACTACTGCTACTACTGCTACTACTGCTACTACTACTACTACTACTACTACTACTACTACTAGAACTACTACTACTAGAACTACTACTACTAGAACTACTACTACTACTACTACTACTACTACTACTACTACTAGAACTACTACTACTAGGACTACTACTACTACTGCTACTGCTACTGCTACTGCTACTGCTACTACTACTACTACTCCTGCTACTACTACTACTACTACTACTTTTACTAATATTAATACTAATAATGATACTCTTACTGCTGCTACTGCTACTGCTACTGCTACTGCTACTACTACTACTACTACTACTACTATTACTAGCTGCTGCTGCTGCTGCTACTGCTACTGCTACTGCTACTGCTACTGCTACTACTACTACTACTACTACTACTACTCCTCCTGCTACTACTACTACTACTACTACTATTTACTATTTACTATTTACTACTATTTACTACGATTTACTACTATTTACTACTATTTACTACTATTTACTACTATTTACTACTATTTACTACTATTTACTACTATTTACTACTAAATACTACTATTTACTACTAAATACTACTAAATACTACTATTTACTACTATTTACTACTATTTACTACTAAATACTACTATTTACTACTAAATACTACTAAATACTACTATTTACTACTATTTACTACTACTACACTAAATCCTTACTGATACTAACTAGTACACTTGTAGCGCGCGGATCTACTCTGGAATGACTAGTGAGGGCTAAATACCAGCTACTTATACGAGTGATAAGCTGTGAAGACTCGATTGGACACGACCTAGAAATCACTAATCGTGGGGAAGAACCCTTGACCCAGCTTCTGGGGAACGAAACTGAGCGATAGAAAGATGGAGTGTGGCCTTTACGCTCGATAGAAGATAGGGGAAATACATACTATGATAGTAGAACTGTACATAATCTTACTACATACATAACGAACCTAATACTACTATTTACTACTATTTACTACTACTACACTACTACTATTTACTACTACTACTACTACCACTACTACTACTACTACTACTACTACTACCACTACCACTACCACTACCACTACCACTACCACTACTACTCCTACGACGACGACGACTACTACTACTGCTACTACTACTACTACTACTACTATTACTATTACTAGCTGCTGCTGCTGCTGCTGCTACTGCTACTGCTACTGCTACTACTACTACTACTACTACTACTACTATATACTACTACTACTACTACTACTACTACTACTACTACTACTACTATTAAATGACCGGATAACCCCACAAATCAACTTCTTCCGATGATCACCAAGCAGATGTGAAAATGAGATGGGAAAGGCAGGAAGGAAAGGAGATGGTGCAAGACAGGTTGGGTGAAAGAGCTGCGTGCGGCAGTGTTGTGTGTGTGTAAGTTTGTGTATGTAAAAGTGTTGTGTGTGAAAGAGTTGTATGTGACAAAGTTGAGTGAGTAAGTTGTGTGTGAGTAAGTGGTGTGTGGACAAGTTGTGTGTGAGCAAGTTGTGTGTGGACAAGTTGTGTGTGAGCAAGTTGTGTGTGAGCAAGTTGTGTGGTGACAAGTTGTGTGTGGAGAAGTTATGTGTGAGTAAGTTGTGTGGTGACAAGTTGTGTGTGGAGAAGTTGTGTGGGAGTAAGTTGTGTGTGGTGACAAGTTGTGTGAGAGTAAGTTGTGTGTGAGGAAGTTGTGTGGTGACAAGTTGAGTGTGGAGAAGCGGTGTGGGAGTAAGTTGTGTGTGGAGAAGTTGTGTGGTGACAAGTTGTGTGTGGACAAGTTGTGTGTGGAGAAGTTGTGTGTGAGTAAGTTGTGTGTGGACAAGTTGTGTGGTGACAAGTTGTGTGTGAGCAAGTTGTGTGTGAGTAAGTTGTGTGTGGACAAGTTGTGTGTGAGCAAGTTGTGTGTGGACAAGTTGTGTGTGTGTGTGAATAATTGTGTGTGTGTGAATAAGTTGCGCGCCACCAGATGCCATAAGTGCCACACCTGCCACGCAAAGTGAAGGTCCATGTCGCCAAGTGCCACGCCTGCCACGCAAAGAGCCGCGGCGCCCACGGCGTCAACTGGGAACCAAGCGCGCCACCAGAGCCAGCCCAGTGCCATAAGTGCCACGCCTGCCACGCAAAGTGCACGTCCATGTCACCACATCCCTTCCCCTATAGAGGGGGAGGGCGGGGGGGACAAAACCAAGCTGTCGAATTCCATTTTTTTTGCTTGGAAACCCTGGGATCCAACCACTCAAATGGAATTGTAAAGTAACATTTCTTAACAAGCCTTGGGCACTGGTTAGAAAATACTTCCGCTTAGCTCCGGAGGAGCTAAGCGCAAGTATGATGACGGCGGCGCAATTTTTGGAGGGATGCCATCCCTACATATGTGCTGCTTCAGTCTGACATGTGCTTAGCTCCTCCGGAGCTAAGCGCAAGTATTTAATTTTCATCTGCTTGCCAAAGACATGGAATGATGAGGAATATTGATCATTGAGAAAGCATGATTGCAAAAATGGAATTTTAAAATGAAATTTCAGTACGACTCCCCCCCCTCAAATTCCATTTTAAAGAGGGTAGGGATGTCACCACGTGCCACGCCTGCCACGCAAAGTGCAAGCCCATGTCACCAAGTGCCATGCCTGCCATGCAAAAAGCCGCGGCGTCCACGGCGTCAACTGGGACCCAAGCGCGCCACCAGAGCCAGCCCAGTGCCATAAGTGCCACGCCTGCCACGCAAAGTGCACGTCCATGTCACCAAGTGCCACGCCTGCGACGCAAAGTGAAGGTCGATGTCACCAAGTGCCACGCCTGCCACGCAAAGTGTGGTGACAAGTTGTGTGTGAGCAAGTTGTGTGTGTGTGTGTGAGTAAGTTGTGTGTGAGCAAGTTGTGTGTGAGTAAGTTGTGTGGTGACAAGTTGTGTGTGAGCAAGTTATGTGTGAGTAAGTTGTGTGGTGACAAGTTGTGTGTGAGTAAGTTGTGTGTAAGTTGTGTTGTGACAGGTTGTGTGTGAGCAAATTATGTGTGAGTAAGTTGTGTGGTGACAAGTTGTGTGTGAGAAAGTTGTGTGGTGACAAGTTGTGTGTGAGCAAGTTGTGTGTGTGTGTGAGTAAGTTGTGTGAGCAAGTCGTGTGGTGACAAGATGTGTGATGACAAGTTGTGTGTGCGCAAGTTGTGTGAGGACAAGTTGGTGAGGACAAGGTGTGTGTGTGTGTGAGCAAGTTGTGTGTGAACAAGTTGTGTGTGGACAAGTTGTGTGTGGACAAGTTGTGTGTGGACAAGTTGTGTGAGGACAAGTTGTGTGTGAGCAAGTTGTGTGAGGACAAGTTGTGTGTGGACAAGTTGTGTGTGGGATAAGTGCGACGCATGCCACGCAAAGTGACGATCGATGTCACCTAGTGCCACGCCTGCCACGCAAAGTGAAGGTGGATGTCACCCAGTGCCACGCCTGCCACGCAAGAGGAAGGTGGACGTCATCAAGTGCCACGCCTGCCACGCGAGACGCCGCGGCGCCCACGGGAACCCGCTGCGCCACCAGTGCCGTAAATGCCACGCCTGCCACGCAAAGTGAAGGTGGATGTCACCCAGTGCCACGCCTGCCACGCAAAACGAAGGTGGATGTCACCAAGTGCCACGCCTGCAACGCGAGACGCCGCGGCGCCCACCGGAACCCGCTGCGCCACCAGAGCCCGCCCAGTGCCGTAAGTGCCACGCCTGACACGCAAAGTGAAGGTGGATGTCACCCAGTGCCACGCCTGCCACGCAAAACGAAGGTGGTCACCAAGTGCCACGCCTGCCACGCGAGACGCCGCGGCGCCCACGGGAACCCGCTGCGCCACCAGAGCCTGTGTGTGTGCAAGTTGTGTGAGGACAAGCTGTGTGAGCACAAGTTGTGTGAGGACAAGTTGTGTGAGGACAAGTTGGTGAGGACAAGGTATGTGTGAGCAAGTTGTGTGTGAACAAAGTGTGTGAGGACAAGTTGTGTGAGGACAAGTTGGTGAGGCCAAGGTGTGTGATGACAAGATGTGTCAGGACAAGTTGTGTGTGAGCAAGTTGTGTGAGGACAAGGTGTGTGTGAGCAAGTTGTGTGTGGAGGAGGCGGCGGGAGGAGGCGGAGGCGGAAGGAGGCGGCGGGATACAGAACCAAAAACAAGAACCCCACACAAAGATGTGGGGGACTACTACTACTGCTGCTGCTGCTGCTACTACTACTACTACTGCTACTACTACTACTACTACTCCTACTCCTACTCCTACTCCTACTCCTACTCCTACTACTACTGCTACTGCTACTGCTACTGCTACTGCTACTGCTACTGCTACTGCTACTGCTACTGCTACTGCTACTGCTACTGCTACTACTGCTACTACTACTACTACTACGACACTAACCTGCTTAACTTCTACTACTACTACTGCTACTACTGCTATTACTGCTACTACTGCTACTGCTAACTGCTACTGCTAACTGCTACTGCTACTGCTACTGCTACTACTACTACTACTACTACTTCTTCTACTACTACTACTACTAGTCCTGCTGCTGCTGCTGCTGCTGCTACTAGTACTACTACTACTACTGCTACTACTACTACTACTACTACTCCTGCTGCTGCTGCTACTACTACTACTACTACTACCAACAAGTACTACACCTACTACTATCACTATCACTACTATCACTACCACTACCACTACCACTCCCACTACCACTCCCACTACTACTACTACTACACTCAATTACACTCAATTACACTACACTACACTACACTACAACTACCACTACCACTCCGACTACCACTACCACTACCACTACCCTATGACCACTACCACTGAACCTACTTACTAACTACTACTACTAGATCTACTACCAACCACCACCCACGACCACCAGACTACCACTACCCCCTACTTCCACCAACGACCACCCTACCACCACTCCCCACCCACTACCACCACTACCACCACTACCACCACTACCCCACGGACCCACCCACTACCACCACGACCACCACGACCACGACCACTACCACTACCACTACCACTACCACTACCACTACCACTACCACTACCACCACCACCACCACTACCACTACCACTACCACTACCACTACCACTACCACTACCACTACCACTACTACTACTACTACTACTACTAGTAGGACTACTAGGACTACTACTACTGCTACAACTACTACAACAACAACTACTACTACTACTACCACTACTACTACTACTGCTACTACTGCTACTACTGCTACTACTGCTACTACTGCTACTACTGCTACTACTGCTACTACTGCTACTAGTTCTACTAGTGCTACTACTGCTACTACTGCTACTACTGCTACTACTGCTACTACTGCTACTGCTGCTACTACTACTACTACTACTACTACTTACTGCTACTACTACTCCTCCCACTACAACTACTAGAGCTACCGCTACAACTACAACATTGCAATTACAACAACATCAACCACAGATGCAGCTTAAACTACACTACGGTGCAACTGCAGCTACAACTACAGCTGCAACACTCCACTGCACTACACTCCACTTCAACACGCTTCACCACCACTACACCACAACCACAACTGCAACTACAACTACAACGAATACTACAGCTACAGCTACAACTACAACATTACAACTACAACTGCATCAACTACAGCTACACTGCACTACAGCTGCAACTGCAACTACAAATAATACTTTGCACTACACTCTACACCACACTACATCCAGCAGTTGTGGTTGAGGTGACCACTGCAACCACTCCAAAAAGCACAACTCCAACCACTTTTCTGTCTATCAATGGATTCGCTTTGGCATCCATGCATCACAACAATTCACCTCTCCTATAAAGCATCCTATCTTTGAAACTTCCGCCACCGCCTTGTGCGATACTACTGGTATGTTCATATATTCTCTATATAAATATCATCAATACTCATCAGGCATGTGAAAAAATTGAACATCTCTTGTGAAGCATCCCATTTTCCTGGTTATTCTTGGCAAGTCTGGGCCTAGGCTCTGTTCTGGTTCCATTTTATAGGCGGGACTTGGTTGGCCCCATAACTTGGGCGGCTCCTTGAACTCGTTGGTGCTCAACCAACGGGCATCGATAGGCAGGCTGCCAACATCCGACAGTCGGATGCACCTACGCCAGATCAATCACGACCAATCCATATCAAGTTCCATGATGTTTCATGGAGCTTCACAAACGCACAATGCCGATGATCTGAGGGGTGAATCAGTGAACCTTCCACCATTCTGCTCAATCTTCTCACGGGCTGGTGGTTCGAAAGCATGAGCATAGACCTAAAAAGTTGATGCATTACTGATTGCAGTCATCACGATCGAGAAGAAGGTCACACTAAGCTGAGGCAAAGTGCTATGAGATTCTTCGTTGTCAACACCTTGGGATTTGAGGCGTTGGTAAGAAGCCGCACCTGCAGCCCACTAAAAAGATGAAGAATGTAAAGAAAAAAAACGTAACAGCTCATTGCAACCAGAATGAGAGGCAAGTCTCGTCGGCTTCCTTGGCTTTTACTTTGACCTTGGTCGCTTTTTACAACCGTGATTCTCTATCCTTCGCTATGTTCCTCTCTTTTCCTTTCTAGTGGCTGAATTGCGAAGTGAAGGCTGACGAGTTCAGATCCGTGCCTTGTCAAACTTCTTGCGAGACTGAACCGGAAGGCCACGAACGAAAAGATCCATATAGTCCACCTTGACCCAGGTGTTCGTTCTCGGAAGATACTTAGTGTATCTTACTGTACTTATTTTGGGAAGCTTCTCTGCCATGGTTGCATGCCTCTAATGGCTCTAATTCCATACTGGCAGCAACATGCAGCAATCATACACCACATGCAACTACACTCTGCAGGAAACTTTGGCACAATGGCAAGAGCTGTGCCCTACCTCGTCACCGTCTTCACACATATTGAGGACCTTAATTCATGAGTGGCACAAGCGGCAAGTTCGAAGGTGCCCTGTCACAAATCCTGAGAATTTTAATCTGTGACTTTAGTGACATTCCGCGCGTTCCATGTGAAAACATGTTGCACCATGTTTCACCTGTGTGGGTCTGCAATGCCTAGTTCTCGGTCTTTTTTTGATGGCAACCTCTTCCCCTTCTCACCTCCCCAAGAAACTGCTAACTCACTCTTCCTTGTTTGCACTGAGTCTTGTGCGCTGCTTTATGTGCTCTTGCTTCTCATGGTCTACAGGTTGCTCTGTAGTAGAATGAACAGGACCGAGTCCCAAACTTTGATGTCGATCTGCGTGTATGGGTCTTGCTTCATGGTGTCCAGTTGCTGGCGATGCAGGGCAGTTGTCCAAATTCAAAAGTTCAACACCAACGAAATGACGCTTTGATCTGCAAGGACCGTGTGGAAGGTCGATTTGTTCCAAGTTTAAGCCTTGGTAAATTAACTCTTGCAACTCCGCTCCCAACTCCGCGATTTGCGGCGGCAACAAGCAATGTGGCAAGAGGACGTCTCTGGTCAACTTTGGTGTCTTCAAGTGCAGTGGCTTCTGATTGCCCTGCAAGCTCAGACCATACAGAGCCAAAAGAATGAAAGAGCACAGTGATGAACCGCATTGAAATGAACCAATGCAAACATAATATGAAAATATAAAGCATTCTAAAGCAAAAAACGAATGCCTCATAGCCAGGATTCAGAGTTCGTCGTCCACGCTTATGAGCACCATTCTTTGTGGTACCATAACCTTATGGGATAAAGATGCACGGCATTTATGGACGAAATGTATCAAAAAGTGAGAGAAATGGTCAGCTTTGGTTCTGAGGTGTTGGACCACATGTTCGACCATGGTGTCCATACTTTCCACGACCATGGACGATCTTCTTCTTCAGTGCTCCGGGTGCATGAATCAAATTGTGGACGCAGAACTCGAAGTTGTCAGTGTCATGGCCTTTGCAGAGTGTTGAGCAAACAAAGTAATTTAAGTTGCAAGTGAAAGCAGACAGTTTCACGCCATTGTTTAAACATGTTGCAATTGTAAACATATCAATCATGTGTCATCTCATTGTTTCTTGGCCAACTGCGGAAAAGCTCTTCACCACGGCGCCTGCCAGAGTTCAATGATGGCCAATGGGGGTCATTTTCTTTGGCAACAAAACAACAATCAAAGGGTAAAGATTGTACACCAGGCTCGTGACATCATGATTAGTTGAGCGTGTTTGGGACGGGTCTTTCAAAGTCTTTCGGTCGTGCCTTGACTCACGACGTCTGCTCTCGAAAATTCGAGCTCCGCCCTTTTTTGGGCCATCGAAACCAGTGTTCTTCACCCACCAAACTTGAGCCTGACCAGCCAACGTGGCGACCAGCAAGGCACTTTGGAGCCTTTGGACCTTTGGACATGCCAGAGGTAGACCAGGATTGAAACCTTGCCTTCATGCCCATGCTTGCCACACCTCAATGCACACAACTACCCACTCTGAAACAGCACCATTGTGGATATGAACAAATTTGAACAAATTTGAACAAATTGACACAGTGAGAGTTGAGTTTTTGACCAGATAAGACTGGCTGAAAAGGCTGAGGCTGTGGAGTCGGGGCCTGGATGCAAATGCGTTTCATCAGCATTCATCAGCCATCTCGACGTCCGCAAAGGCATCGATGTGCGCACATCTTATGCGAACCTCGTAAGATGTTGGTGCCGCTGCAATGTAGGAGGAAGCACATGGGGTGCCCATGAAGCCACCTTCGCAAGCGAAACTGAGGACGGCATATCGCAGGCACAACAGGTGGCCATTGAGAAACTCAGATTTGTGCTGCTGCTGCTGGAGAAAGCGTTGCCTCAAGGTTGCAGGGTCCCCTCACAAAACCATTCTGTGCAAGATTATGTAGATGCAGATATTATCCTGTGTATGATTATGTAAGTTACTGTGAATAAAATTCAGGAACACACAAAACAGTAATCCTTGAACATGGTTTTCACTGTTTCACTGTTTCGGGCACAAAAGGTTTGGTCCTTGCCGCCAAATGCATCGGTTAATTAGCAAAGTCGCCCCAAAAACAGACCAATGGCACTAAGCTCCAGCATTTCGTTGATAATCTGGGTAAAGGCCTGTGCGATCTCGGCACTAAACTTGGCTGGATACTCCTCATGACAGCTCGCCTTCAAACTGCCATCAGGGTTCCTGCCAATCGCTACAACTACCAGCTTCCTCAGCGAGTCGTCAGAGTGCAGATAGAGCGACTTGAGGGGGCCAGCAGGCCCGTTGGTTTGGCCACAGTGGCACCGAACTCCCGCTGGGGCACCGGTGAAGACCAAATTGATGCGCGGGATGGATCAGTGTGCGGGGCCCGGTGCTCGCTCACAAATTAAAAATCCACCGGTGGTCACCTGGTATGCCAAGAGCAGGGCCCCTTGAAGACCAGCACGTAGTTGGTCAACTTCTCGGCGAGTGAGGCCTTCCATCCAATCCCACGAGCCTTGCAAACGATCTCAGAGGTCGGGGCCATCGCCGTTGATCTGCATCAGGAGCTCCTTCTTGCGGTACTGCTTGCTGATGTCTGGCTTTCGCTGAAGGTCTCGCATGGTGTGCCAGCCAAGGTGGCTGAAACCCAGCCTCCTTGACTCCTTGATAGCACTTAACCAGCTCCATCCAAGAAGCAGATCCATACGTGATGGAATTCGCAGTGTCCATGGAGAGAATGGTGTCCTTCACATTGCGCTTTGCTGCCCAAGATTCAATGTACCAGTGAAAGTCTCTTTCTCGACGTCTGCCAGAGAACAAATGGACCAGCAAGAAGCGCGGCCGATCACTGAGCGTGCCATACTCTGGCAGGACACTCCAACGCACTTCTCGCAAGGCTGCAAGCCATTCTATTTGTCCCTGGTACTGTGATGGTATCTTCTGTTGCGTAACCCCTCTCTCTGGGATTGGCTGTACCAGAGCGACATGGCCGATGAGGAAGGGGTTCAGTCCTGACTCCATCTTCCAATTCATTCAGCCTGATTCGCAACTGTGCCAAACGTTCGGCGCAGTCCACACGGGCCAAGTGCTTGTAGATGTCGTAGTAGGTCTTCTCGATATCATACTCAATCTCGCCGTCCCAAATGTTGGCGATGAGGTCAGGCAACACATGCGATCCCCAGCTGATGAAAACAAGCTCTGTCCACTCTTCAAATTGCGGCCCAAATGTGAAAAGCTGTCGGAGCCACCAATCGCCAAGGTCTGCATCACCGGGAGGTGCGTGGTGTCCTGCGCGATATTTCTCAACCCAAATATGCGTGCATCTCCTTAAACTGTCACAAAGTGCTTGACCAGCTGTCAGATGATCGTCAGGAACCTCCCTAACCAGCAATTCATCCTCCATTTGCTGGATTATGGAGGTAAGGCGTCTGATCTCGTCGTGGACCTTGTGCTGTGGTGGTGGCAAAGGTCCCTCTGTCTCCAGGGCATCAGTGCGCAACGCTCCAAGGAGATGTCGAGGAAACTTTTCTCGGCCTTGAAGTCAGTCGCAGAACCTGGCTCAATGAGAGCCTGGTAGCATCTATTCCCTCCACCTCCACGGGGAATGCGAGCAAGATGTTGCTGCAAACGTGTGCTCAACCAAAGGAATCGCAAACAATTCGGACATGTAGCACCGCAAACCAACTTGTGCTCAGGCGCAAATTGCTGGTGGGCACGTGCACGATGCAAAGCCAAGCCCTGCGCAGTGGTGAAATGCTTCCCACTCGAATGAACATCTTCACGCACCTGACCACGTGCATGTTCAGGGCTTGGGTCAAATTCAGCACCTTTGGAAGGCAGGACTCGAAAAAAACTGTGCACTAAGTCCGTGCACATCTGCCATCATGTGCTCCTGCGCAGTGCAAGTTTTCCACTGCGCCTGCCAATTCCAGAACCTGGGCATTGGTAAGATGGACCTCTGGGTTCATGCGCAGAACCTTCTTAAGGGAGTTGATGAAGAAGGTTCGCAATGTTGGCATCTGCTTCAAAGTCGGAGTCCTCCAGGTCCCAAGACCATTGAAAAGTTTTGTCTCCACCAGCGCCTTGAAGAGGAAATGGAAAATGTCGATTGGCCAAAATGGGCCTGCCCAGCATGGCAATGGCCTGTTTGGCTTGCCCAATACATTGACGTAGTTCAGCATCAAGCGACTGGGAAGGTGGATAAGTGTAGCCAGGCCGAAAATGTAGCTTGCTCAAGGGTGCAGTCAACTCCTGGACGATCCACCAGCAGATACTTCCTTCGGTGGTCTGGGGCCTGAGGCCCTTGGAAACTAATGACAACATTGGTCTTGTTCAACTCATAGTTGATGGAAAATCCTCTGGCTGAGAACTGTTGTTCAATGTGCTGGACCAACTTGACAATAGCTGGTACTAGCATAGTGGTCGTTTCAGTGGCCCATGCGATGTCATCGGCCCAGATAACTGTGAACAAAGGGACATCATGAGTTCGGTAGAAGCTGCATGAAGTCGTCCTGCTCTGTGATCCAATGCCGAACGTCAGCCATGATGTGGGCCATGATGACATGAAAGATGCCGTCAGCTAGTGGCGACCCAGGTCTGGTCCCACGTTTTGTTCTGATAGGCACCTGTTGTGGGCATCCAGCGCGCACCTCCCTGAGCAATCGTAGGATCCTCGGGCCACATCCAAAGGACCCAACACCCTTCGATGAGCCTCTGTCCATGGGAACGCGCTTCAAGCGGATGACCCGCTTCATGCAGGTCTTGAATGATTCTGTTGATATCCGCTTCATAAGCAACTCCCAGCACAAGTTCTCGAACTAAATGGTGGAAAGCGCTCGTTAGGTCAAGGTGAAGAACAGCCGTACTGAGCTTCTTGGTCTCCAAAATGTGTGTCCATGCAAGAAAACTGAATGAAAACCAAATCGCACCATCTGGCGGCTGAATCCACCGAGCTGTCCCTCAACTCTTTTCGTGCCAAGCGTGGCCATGAGGTTGGATCGTGGCATGCCATGAATGCGCTTAGCAATTGTAGCAAGAAGTAAAATTCCTCTGTAGCTGCACGCCTCATTCAGATTCCCTCGCCTAAGGATCAAGCACATCACTCCACCCTTGAAATGAATGGGTTCCGTACTCCTGTAAATGCACCGATCTTCAGGAGCAGGGGGTGGTAGAGTCTGGCAAAAAAGGGCGCATGGTCGTGGTGCACATTTGCATGATGGCACGAGATCAAGACCCGTGGCCTTTTGGCTGCAGTGGCACGGAGTGAGGTCTCAAAGCTGGCAAACTACTACCAGCGAAGACCTCAGTCACAATAGTCACAATCTTGTCAACCTCCTTCAGCTGTCGGGAAGTCGGTGACAAGGGCAGCGGCATGGGTCACTTCACCAAGTTCGAGGTTGCAAAAGTGCGGGGCCACTTGATGCTCAAGCACTTCGAGCCGTGCAGGTGGTAGATGAGCGCCTTTGTCGGAACTTGGGCAATGATCTGCGAATGACACCCCATAACTTGTTCACATTGGCAGGTGCTAAAAAATTTGCTGCCCTCAGTGAGAAGTGATTGGAAAAGTTTATGTCATCTTGTCGTAGAGCTCGAACTGCAGCGCGACTAAGAATTCGAAAATTTTGAAGCGCCTTCGCAATCAGACCATCCTGCATATGGAGCAGGCTGGCATAGTCCTCAACTTGCTTTGGAGGTAGTAACGCGTTGCTTCCAGGCTATGAAGATGAACTCAAGCCGATCATGTCGTTGCTGGCTGTTCAATGTTGCCAGATGCTTCGCTTCCTTGCTGCCCTCTTTTCAAGTACAAGGTCCCAGGTTTCAGCTGACATCGTCTCCTTCCTGGGTCTGGGCACATGAGGAGCTGCATGTGAAGCAACGGCATCAAGCAGGAAGCGCTGCAACTCAGGAGCATGTGTGTGAACATGGAGGCCTGGATCCAAGTGTGGGACTGGGCCACCAAGTTCGTAATCATGGGCATTGTCAAACTTCAAGACTGACCTCCGTGGCTGACTCCTATGTCGATGAAGCTGTCCCTGAAACTCAACGTCGACGCATGCAGCCAGATGATCCGTTCTTGTACTTGATGGATCAATGATGGTGCTGATCCAAGCTCGACTGGGGGTCCAACGCAAGGGTAGGCCAATGAAGTCGATGCGCCGTTCTCTGCCTCCTGTATATGTACCAAGTGTGGCCAGGGCCATCTTGACAGACTTCAAAGGTCGACGGCAACCAAAGTCCACATCGGCGGATGAAAGTCTCAAAGGGTTCTGACTTCGAGTCATGAGGGCCTGCTTGGAAGTCGCCTATTGAGGTCGTAGGTGAAGTTCCAACCACTGCATTGGTTGTCGGTCAGCAGCAAAATGGGCCACTGGGGGATGGCATTCTCATGATGTGCTTGGCCGAGACAACAATGCAACGTAGTGCTTCTGACGTGATGCAAAGAATCAAACTCCTTGGTGTTTCGGAGATGATGGAGAAGTCATCTGAGTGCAGCCTCAGTGGCCCAGCGCGGCAACAGATGCGCAACAGCTACAGGAGGAAAAGATTCACATCTTCGCTTTCCAGGAAACGAGGCTTAGACGCCTTCATCACGCACATGCTGATGATTTCTGTCTCTTCCGCAGTGCTGCCAATGAGCGAGGGCACATTGGCATTATTGTCGGTTTTGCCAAAGACAACCCATATGCCGTTTCTGAACGTCATGGACGACAACGCCGACACAGGTTCAATGTTGCCCACATAAAGAAAGAACATTGCAAGTCGTGAAACGTAAGCGGATATTGCAATCATCACAGGTTCGAATTGGCGCAATCTCTTGAGGGAGCAGTTCTGTGAGCACATTTGTAGCGGGCGTGGTCCATGGCCGCTGAAACCAAA